AAACACATCTTATTGCAGTCTGAAACTGTTTTTTTCTACTGTGTCCATTTCTATCTGGACTCCCTAAAATTATTCCCCAAAATGGAATTCCAGCCCTAACATTTCCTTCTGGTCACCAAGTTATTAACTAGATTTTAACTAATGAAAAATGTACCTTTCAAAAATTATTAAGAATGGCAAACCAATGCCATGCTGTAGGTAGCAAGTTGGTATTTACTCCTATATTCCTAAAAATAATTCAGTCAGAAGTAATTTCATTAGAGTTTACTTTTGTATAAGTAAATCTGAGCATAACTCCAGGTGTGTTGTGATGGCATTGGGGATGTTGGAGGACATTAGTTAGCAAATGGCAAATATGGCTCAAAATCAAGAAACAAAAGACAGAAAATGAAATTAAATTGGAAGGAAAAGTGACTGTTGCTCAGTTTTTTTAAGACTATACAGGATAGGTGTCGAAACGCCTCCAAAAAACTGAGCGAATGTTCTAATTCAAGCCTGTTTCGTACTTGACATGACCCCGATGACTGAGAATTTACATAGGCAAGGAAAGAAAAAAAAAAAAGGGGGGGGTTAAGTTTAATGCAGGGATCTGATCAGATAGCACCATATAATCTATTATCAACTGTATATCATGCCACCAGTCTAACCTTTGGAAGAAAGTCTGAACGTGCTGAAAGAAATATTAAGTTGCATTTATCGTTTGCAACTCTGTCTCATACACAGCTAAAAAGAAGGTCAGATTCGACCAAGAGATAACATTTAGGTGAAAGAGTCTGGGAAAAAAAAAAAAAGAAACACTGAGCCTAAAGAAATGTGTCCCCATAGTAAAACATGGGGGTGTCAGCATTGTGCTGTGGGAATACATTTTTTTTTTTTTTTTGCAGCGGCATGATATATGGTAAGAATTAATTAAAAGATGGATGTATATAAAAACAAGACATAAAAATAGAATAGAGGCTACAAAACAGCTAAGGCTGGAGCAGAGGTTAATATTCTAGCACAATGATGACAGTAATTAGACATGAAACGTATTCATTCAAAGACCTCAGTAAAAATACATCCGGGCATTTTTGGTACGACTTGGCTTTAAGCCTATTTGCAAAAAAAAAAGCAGAAATATAATGGTTAAAACTATGAGTCTGTGCAAAGTTGTAGTGAGATGCCCCAAAGTGTCTGCAGCTGGAATCGCTGCATCAGACAACTCTACCAATCAGTGGAAATGAATAAAAATGCATACCGCAGTAATCAGTCATTTCCTTGAAGAATATCTTCTAAAACTAGCCACCAATTGCTATTTAGAAAACTATTTTGCAATTTATGATGTTTCACAATCAAAACATCCGACAAAATACAGCATTTTTTGTTGTAACTATGATTGTTTCATATGATTCTCTATGACATTCTTAATTCACCTATCTAGTCTTTTTCAAAGGCCTTTATAGACAAAAATAAGGTAATCAAAGAAATTTATTTATGTACTTAAAAAATATATAAATATATGATTCCATCCTCCAGTGAAATACCCAAATCCTCTTCAGTCCACCTGTTGGAGATCTGAAGATTTGTTGCTGCCTGTTTGAAGGAGCCACACACACTGAGGATCTGATTATCAACCCACTGCCCTTGCCGCGAGGTTGCTGAACAGACTACTAAATCTTGGCTGATAAACAAACGTCCCCTTCCCTCATTCAGAACTTGGGATTCTCAGCGGTAAGTGATAATTTCAGCTGCGTCGCTCACTTTGATTGATGGGTTCTTGCGCTTATGCAACCCCCACCAGGTGCACGCCAGAGATGTTTCTCATAAAAGATGAAGCACCAAACTACATGTGAATTCCAAATGCAATTGTAGGGTCTAAATTGTCAGCCTTCTAGACAAGCAGGGGGGATAAGTATGAGCCTCCAAAGCTCTGCCTGTGTACCAATAGTGTTTTATTCCAACAGTGACACTTAATTTCAGAAACTGTAATAAAAATGTGACATGTTGGAACAGTATGTGTCTACTAACCCTCAGAGGCCTGGGTCAGAATGATAACAGTTGGATTTTCGCCATGGTACAATGACAAATCTATGGAGGCACAAAACTTTTTATGAGCAGGTTAATAATTCAAAGGGCAAGAAAACCTTTAAAAAATCCATCCTAAATAAAAACAGACTTTAAATTAACTCAGTTTAATCCAACTTTTAGTTTGCAAGAAACATACTGCAGCAGAACATAAACTAAGTTCAACACATTTAGTTCTGATTCAAGAAATATTGAAGTTTTCGTAATTTAGTGTATAATAAAATATTGTGCAAACTAAAGATTCAGCAATCACTGTATATTTCAATACATCTTTTTTCTTTAATAACATTGATTGCATTAAAACTTAAATATGCATGCATCAAGAAGTTTAGAGTTAAAGCATGTTTAAGGTTTCTGATAACATTTATGTATGAAACTTAGTGCCAGCCTCAGTGAAAGCAAACGTCTCGCCTTCTTCAGGTCCTGTACTGTAAAGTTGAAGGTGTTTTCTGTGACATCAAAATAAAACAATAGGATATTTGTACCTTTTGCTGGCCTGTAGCCTTCTGTCTCCCCTCCTCCATGTTATCCGGGGTTTAGGTGATGCCTTTGGCTTGCATTCCAGAGAAACGTCTTTTCCGAGCGTGGCGATGACCCGTATGGGATTAGGGACAAATAGGGGCGGTGATGCTGGGTGGGGTAGAAAAAAATATTTTTTATTGTGCTTTCAAAAATATCTTAAATAGCATAAAATAGCATGTTTACCTTCTCTTCGGTTTGCATATCAACATGATTACCAAAATGATATCAAAAAGATATCTTTAATGTAAAAAAAAAATTATTATTATTACTTGACGTGTACTGATACTGAAAAATGTAAGAAAAAACTACCATATAAGCTGCTACTTTCTCCCACGCTTTGAACCATGCGGTTTATAAGAGGATGCAGCTTTTCTGTGGATTTTTCCTAACCACCAGAGGGGGAAGTCAAAGTTTGAAATAAAAATTATAAGGGGGTAATTTTCATTTAGCATAAGAACATGATAGCAGCAGGCATGACGGAGAACAAATGTCACAAATTTCACCCATTTGGACATTCATTTGCCTCATTAAACCAATGAAGGTTCAACTCCTGCAGGGCTGAAATAAAGAGCTGATGAAGCCCCATCTTTCAGAAGAAGCTCTTCCTGCTGGAGCCATCAAACAAAGGCAGCTAGCATTGTTCTCCATCCCGACTCCAGGGGCTATATATAGAGCTCCCCCTACAGGTCTGGTGGGAAATAGCTCAGTAGATATCAGTCGCCCGGTGTGGCCTATATGCAAGTTTCCAGTTTTTTCAAAAGATTTAGTGGGCACGGCTTATGGGCATGACAGCGCGCTAAGTTCTCTAAGTTATAGTGATGTGAGCTCTATAGTTCGGAAAATACAGTACCTGGATACAATGCCTAGTTTTTACATTATTGGTTTTATACAGATTCTAATTAGGTCAACAATGCAGTACATTGTAGACACTGGAATTTTTTTACAATATTACAGCAATGATTTATGGCAATGGACTAATCTCATTAAAATGTATGTATGTATGTAGTTATTTGCATGTTTGTGAAACAAAACCTTAACCATTACACGTTATAGATACGCCAATGTCCTATTTGCGAAGCAACAAAATATATATATATTTGTTTTCTTTAATTGTTATTAGCATTTTTATTATTTTACATTATATATTTTTTTTGTCATCAAGTATGTTGACATGTGAAATTTAGTGATCTCTGAAGGAACAGCAGCGGGAGTCATGTGCTTCAGTCAGATCAGATCAAATTAGGGGTATTCAGAAAGATTCAGCAGCTTTCACATGCCCTGTGAAGCAAACATAGTTGTCACAGAACAACAAGTGCAAATCAAATACTTCAGAGACGTAAAAATAAGAGCATTAGTTAAACTCCTCTTATAGGGAGTGTTGACCTAGTGATTAGAGCAGTGTACTTGTGCTATAAGAAGATTGCAAGTTCCCTGTTTGAACCCCACAGCCACCACTCTGGGTTCCTGAGCAGAACCCTTAACCCCACACTGCTCCCCAGGTGCCACACAATGGCAGCCCAGCTGCTCCCCAAGGGGATGGGTGAAATGCAGAAAGTGAATTTCCCCACTGTGGGACAATAAGGGGATTTACATTCATACGGACCCACTGGTCACAGTGTGCTGTATTCTTTAAACAAAGGTTGAAAGCAGCAGCAGGACCCATTTCTTTTGAAGTCTTGGACAACTTAGTGGCAGTCACAAATTACATTGAAGTTTTTATATAAGACTCCAACATAAAATGAGACAGTCAGAGTAAAAGTAAATGTATCAGAAGAACATTTAGTTCTACAACATTAATCCAAAATGTTGCAGGCCCAATTCTTTACAACATCTGATGGACTCCAATGCTAATGATCAACTACCAGACTTGTAAAATCTTAATGCTGCTAGAGATATAGGCAAATATAGTTGCAGTATACCTGTCAGCGACTGTGTAGATTATTAACCTGCAGATCACCTGAAGCTCGAACCCAAAGACTGGATTTGTAGCATTTCTCATTTGCAAAATTACTAAACTGTTTTAGTAGAAATCATACTTGCATACTTGCATAATTATCATGCTGTACAAATGTGAATTGTGCCAAATGCAGCTTTGTTGTGATTTATTAGTTTCCAATAATATATTGCCCAATTAGAAATAGAGCATTGGACTTGAAGATCATTCTTTTGGATGCTTGCTAGTTTTTTTTATGCATCTCGTTATTGACCTTAATTTAAACAGACTGCCTGAGAGAGTAATAAGTACATAAGATAAACATAGCAAACAATTATGTTGCTGCTTAGAAAACTATGAACAGGCCATGCACAGGCTCTAGGGCTTTGTCAACAGTGGTTATTCAAATATTGAATGATGCCTTATAGGTGATGTTATACACAATGACAATTCAATCTCATCTGTAGCTACAGGCTGACCCTTCTCCCTATAACACTTGTGTCTTTGAGCCTGAGTAGTTGTCTGAGAGGCGGAGGTCCCTGTAGACACAAAAAGGAGCAGAAACCGGAGCAGTTGCTGTGTGTATTTGCTTTAATCAAAGCTGGTGGCACAACCACCCGCATTCCTTCATGCCGCCACTCTCCCTGAAGAGCTGGATCTGGGACAAGATCGTAGACGTGAGGGCGGCCGCTGCCCCCGTGTAGCCTCTGGTGATCGCTCATCTGCAGGCTGTTATTAGTCATGTAATCTGTCCTGATAGTCTTTGCTTCTGGACATTGAGACAGAGCATAGGTCACTGGGAAGATGTGCCCACAGGGTACAGTTATGAAAACATTCATCAAGAGCTTCCAAATATCACCAGTGTGACTGTGACTCTGAGGAAGCCAACAGTAACTACTCGTCAGCTTGGATAAAGCTTATTAAAAGCCCCAAACTTTTAAATCTTGTAGACAAACACCTTGAATCCTAAATACAAAGCTCAGCAAGCTGTGTTGTTCTACATAGACATCTCAGAGCATGAACAAAAAAACTTTATCCATTTGCAGTAAGATTTTCAAAATGCCACAGATTCCCCTTCAGAAAAGGGCAGGCCATAAAAGACAGTAAATCAAGTCATCCCTGAGGGAAAAATGAAAGGGGAATGGGTATCACCAGATGTGTCCCAGTATCGAAGATGACAAGGAGAAAATAGTGCATCAGCACAGAACAGTGGACAGCAATTTCAGCAGGACTCCTATGTTTTTAGCCTGCAGCCTTAAGGCTAAGAAGCACTTTTTCTTTGCTTTTTAATGTCTAAAGAATTCCGAGTGCATGCAACTCTAGTTTGGCCAAAACAAGATAAAAATAATGATGGTAAATTATGTGCAAGTAGGCAATTATCAATGACTGCAGCTGATTACAAAATTATGGCAATCCCTGAGATGGCTTTGGCGAGGTTCCAGTGCCAAGTCACTTTTAGAGACAAATTTAGCTTTTGGAACAACTGTTTTAGGAATCCTTATTGCAAACTATGAGCACATTTCTTAACAGCAGTTGACCAAGCTTATAGCTCAGCTGATTAACCAGGTATTGGTTTGTTTACTTTCTAAGTTAATCTATAGATGTCAGAATGACAAATGGTTAAAACTTTGCAACATAATCTGGTTTACTTGAAAACTACAAATACATTAAGAGATTTTCATTTTAAGCATTATCTCAGGAAATTGGATTATACTTTCTGCTAAGGCTCATTTGTCAGATTTAAAAGTAGGATACTAAAAACTAAAAAAAATATAAAGCTTTAAGTTCATATTAAATGTATATTTAAAATTTTTAATGGTTTAGGATAAAACTTTAAGTGTTCATTTTATTAATCTTGATTGTGTTTAGTGAACTGAGCTACTCACATGAACCAATTAAAGCGATGTTCAGATACACCTACATACATTTGCATAAGTCTTTTAGCACGTTGTGCAATTGTACAGATATAAAAAAAACAACTTATACAGCTAGCTGTCTTCCCGTTGGTTTGTCAAAGTCTGATTTCACAGCACTACTTGCAATTGAATTCAAAATGTATCTTTAATCTTGAATGTATCTTTAACTTAAAGAAACTAACTGGTAAATGGTTGTCATGGGTACATGAAACAGCTTTAGTGTCCTTGCTGATGTTACTTTAATGGTTGCACACATTTTTTTTGTTATGGTGTGATCTAGTTTGTGAAGTGCAATTAGGAAATGTTTCTGTCTACTCCATGTTTTTGTACCCAAGTACATATGCAAACTTATCTGTATTTTTTGTTTTTATAATCTTGTAGAAATAGATTTTCATCCTCACTATGGCCTTTGTAGTTCATGTCTGTCCTCATACCCCTGTAGATAATGACAGTCTTCTAGTAGCAGAACCAACATCTTTACAGGGCTTTTACTTTGGTCTGGGGTTGATTGCACATTTTTCACCAAATTACATTTAACTCTGGGACACAAAAAACAACCTGTCTTTTCCTTGATGACAGGATACCCCCACTGTGTTTATATAATCTGTTGAATGTGGCACCTTTAAGCGTATGGAAATTGTAGGAAAGGATGAATCAGACCTGTGGAGGTGCACAATTTTCTTCCATATATAAGGATGTATTTCTTTTGATCGTATCATGTTGTTTTTACAAGAAATCATTGCATCTGAGGTGCACACAGGTGCACCTAAAACAACTATTTAGAATCGCCCTCTTAGAATATAATACAGCTATAGAATTACCATTCGATACTGCAACTGCTGTTTAAAGACAAAACAATCTTATTATGTTTAAATTAGTGTTGCACTGATTCCATTTTTTGGCCCTGCTACCTGGCTGTGAAGTATTGGCTGATACCAATACCATACTGATACCATCTGTTTGAAATTGTATGAAGAACTGCATACTAGTTGGATGTAAAATAATTGCCATTATGGCTTTGTCAAGCTGCTGCCTACCTTTGTGAAGCAGGAAAAAGACTAATACAAAGTGAATTTATTAGAACTTTTTATTGCCTACCTGGAATTGGTGACAATAGTTGAATAATTTTTTGGCTCTCAAAATGGTATCGGTGCCCTATTTGTTGCTACTCACCGATACCGATAATAACATTTCAGTGCTGGATTGGGGCCCTGCCCGATACTGATATCGTTATCGGTGCAACACTAGTTTAAAGTCATGAGTTTGAAGAATTAACATTTCTGGAAAGTTCTTTTTAATATTTTTAAGCCTTTATGGTCAACTATAGGCATATATACAATGAGATTTTGCCTTTGACAGTTCAGAATATTGATTTCTTATCAAATATTAGTTGTTTTCTGCTTTTTATTTTTTTCCCCCATCCATGAAGATAGACGCCTGCCTTCACTGCAATGGTGTTAATCCCCTTGTAGGTGCCACCCCCTTTACAATGTTGCCCTAGAGCTGTTATCATGCCACTTCTAGTTCTTCTTTAGGAGAGCTGAATAAACCACTCTAAAAACATTTTTGCTACTTGGACACCAGTAAAAAAAAAAAAAAAAAAAAAGAACAATTGCTGTCACTGGGAAGACTCGGTGCAAAACGAGCCAAAGTAGTTCGACAAAATTGTGCTCTCCTTCCCATCAGCAATCAGAGAAACTGTGCAGGGGTGGCACAGTCAATACAGGTGCTTCCTGGAAAGGTTACATTAAACATTGATCTATGTGAAATAGTTATAGCCACTCAATTTCCAGGAGAGGGTGGGGCTGCTTCTCATAGGAGCCGAGGTCATTGAGAATATAAATGCATAAATCAAACAAAGCATCACTTTGAGCACAATTTTGATTGTGCTCAAAGTGATGTATAAGATAATAAATCTGTTAACTGTTAAATGCTTAAAAATACATATTTAGCATGATATAGGTTGTTGTGGAAACTCCTTTCAATATCCTGGCAAACAAAGACAGCAAACAAATATAATTTTGCTGATTCGAACTGAGCTAAACCATGAAATAGTATTTTAAAAACACAAACATTTACTGTCTCTCAGTGAGGAAAGTTCACAGCAAGATCAGTGTGATTGAATCTCTAGAAGTGAGAAACAACATGGTTATTTGTGATTGAATATCTGGTTTAACAAGTGCTGGCTGAAATAACAAAGATTTCATGTTATCTTATATCTGCCTAAGAAAAGAAACGGATGAAAGTCGTAGAGTCAGGTTTGTTTTTCTTAGAAGTGGGGATCGTACTGTGATGGCAAACAGAGCAGTGATGAGAGCCTAATGAAGTCATTAAAACCCTAACAAACCACTCTCCATGCATGGCCCCATTAGTAGAAATCTATATCTACAAGTTACTGGTTTATATCCTCTTCAAAATAACTCATTAACTTTATGTGGACAGACTCCTCAATGAATATAGCCAGAAGATCCGTTAGTGTATTCATCTGTCTGCTGCCTGGGTTAAATCAGGGGCCATTGATTGGCAATCAGAACAACTCCCAGTTTAACATTCTCTCCTTGCATTTCACTTCTCTGTATATATAAATCAGACGTGAAAGAATTTCAGCCTGCATGGGATCAAGAAATCTGCTTAAAGGAAAACTGACATTTGCCAGCATAGTCCACATTATAAACCATAAATACTTACCTAAAATCTTCAGCTCTGCATTGGCGTAGACGGCTCCATATTTATTTTCAGCCACACATTGGTACATTCCTGAGTCTACCTGTTGCACTTTGTTAATGGTCAGTTCCCCATTCACTATTTCAAGTCGACCCTGAAACAAGACAAGAGCATAAAGGAAAATCAGGACTAAAGGTGGACATAGTTTACTTGCTTATGTTGCAAGGAGTTTACAATTAACAGCATAGAAAGGTTCTTTGTGTATTAAAAGTACCTGGGAAGTCAAGGGCAAACCATTACGAATCCAGCGATAGGTGGGCCGGGGCCTCCCCATGGCCTTGCACTCCCACTGAAGCTTCTCTCCACTATCCATCTGAGTGTCATTAATCATTCTGACCCACTGAGGGGTGGCTGAAAGAGAGAAAAAGATATACAAATGAGTAATATATCCTTGAAGCATACATAAGCCACGAGTATGTATTTTTTATGTGCATCTTATAGGCAAGAGAAAAAAGATTACTATCATTATTAAATTAATCGGCTTAAATAAAAACATAAACTAATACTTAAATAAATTGCCCACCAAGATGTTTAAAAAAGACAAAAAAGTATATATTTTTTGTTAATAGTCCTGCTATAATTTAGGCTGAATATTTGACCCGTCTTCTTGGCGGAAACAATAAGACAAACCTAGAGCCTTGTAAACCTGTCGTGATTATTTTTTTTTCCATAGAAAAACCACAAACCTCATTGCATTCCATTTGAATTTTATGGTCAAGATTAGTGTACTGATGTAAACAGGAAGAAACGGTATTGATTAATATTTTATATCAAAATATCTGAGAAGTAATGCAGTGCAATTCCAATCCTTTCAGGAACCACCTGTCACTGCTATTACAGATGGAAAGGCTTGTGTGGAAGGAGTTCACCATGTTTGCACGACTACAGTATAGACCAAAATATTTCAAGCTGTTTCAAGCTCAAGTGTAGGCAGAGTGAATTGGAAAGTTGAATGAGGATGGGATTTTATGGATTGAATAAGTTAAAATAGGCAGCACTAAAAACACAAAGTTTATCATTCATTACATTATGTCTAACATAAAAACAGAACATGGATCAAGACTGTCTTTAAATACTTATATATAATGTAGCATGAATTTAGATTTACTCCACTTTGCTCTTATACAGACAGGTCTGGTATAAAGTTGTGAAGAATTGCAAAGCATCTTTGAGATCCTTGAAAAACTTAAAGACACTTTCCCAATCTGTAAATGGGAAAAGCAGAGTGCATCTCTAAACCTGGGGGGGGAAAGACCTTCACCCAAACTGACAGGTCATAAGACCAACATTAATCAGAGAACCAACCAAGAGGGTAATGGTTGCTCAAAAGCAGCTGCAGTTACACTACAAGTCTGTTGAAATGGTGCTCTAAATGCATGTGACCGGTTCCAAACTTAGAGATCTTAGCTGAACAAACCTTCACATTAAAGGCATAAATACAGAATAACAAAGAAGCATTATCTGATTTAATGAGTCAGAAAAAGGTTATTTCTTAGCTCACGGTAAGTTATTGTTAAAAAAAAACAAAAACATTACAGCTTTTTGTTCAATGCAACAAAAACAAATCAAACATAAAAAAATTGGCCTAATTGAGATAAATAAGAAAGCAAAAATCACACTTTGTCTACCCTTAAATACTGTATAAACTGACAGACCTGATTTAAATAAAGCACAAGTAGAAACAATAAGAAAGGCTGAGGGGCTTTGTGGGAACATAAGTTGCATCAAAAAGCAGGACCTCTCGCTTCACGTTCTTAGTACAGATCCCTTTCATGTTTGGAGTAATTAGTATGTAATTTAAACCCTAAAAACTAAAAGCAGGCAACTTAACAAAACACAAAACGAAAAAACCCCAAAAACAATGCCACTTTTTTCTTCTTACTTCTTGTCTAATGTTATTATTAGTATTATTATTAGTAGTAGTAGTAGTAGTAGTAGTATTAATTGTGCTCATTAGAATTAGCTATTTTTCCTTGAAATGCAAAACAGCTGCATGAGCTTGGCAAACAAGACATCTATCTTTTCTGGGCATTCCCTTTTCCTCCAAACCCTTTTCTGTGTTTTCAAGGCTTCAAACACCCGCTCTGCACAAAATCCGCTTTAAAATCCCACAACTTGCTTTTTTTAACCCCACATAATCTCAGTTTTTTTCTTTTAATCTACTAGACTCTATCCTTTGCTCAGGGTTATGTGGTAAGATGATTATTTTCACTTCTTGTTTGACAGCAAGATTAAAACATTTACATAAATAAACAATAGAAAGGATAAAAACATTATCTTAGTCTTCTAGATTTTACCTTCTTTTCTCTTGCTTGTTATTTTTGCAATGTATTACCCATCTCTTCCCCCTTGACAAACATGTAGTGACAGCAGGTGACACTTATTGGCATACAGGTATTAAATTGGAGTCTGTCACTCATAATAAGCCTAAATGTGGTAACAAAATCTTTAATTTAAAGAATCGTCAGCAGAACCTGGCTTCATGTGTGCTTATATTTGTTTGATCTTAAGGAAGGGAGGAAAAAAATCAATGAATGACTAAAAACATGGAACATTTGAGGCAATAAATTTCTTTAAAAAAATGTATGGCAATTATTCACCACTGAACCGAGAAAATTTTGAAAGGTGATAGTGTTGTTTTAGAGTGAGAAATAGTATTTTGGCATGCTGTTCAGAAAATTATATAGGTGTATTGTCATTTGTTTTAAATCTTGAATACATGTGGTAAACTTTCAATATATTGTATGAGCCTTGGAGGTATATAATAGTTATAAAACTTGAATTTATGGAATTTAAGTCTGTTTAAATCAAACAAAGTTCTTCATATATATAATCTTATTGTAAAAACATACAATACAAAATATATTACAGACTGGATATAGTAGGAGTCAACCTGACAGCATGAAGTTGAGGCAACTTTTTCAGAGAATTAGATCACAGCAGAAAAACAGCTCAGTAAATACACTATTGAACATCCTTAAAATTTCCAGTAATGTTAGACTTTTTGCAATAATGTTAATTTTATAAATAGTAATATTATATAATTTATAAAAAATTATATGTATTTACCTTATTTAGTTATGTTTTTCTTAATCTTTGAGATCTTATTGCAAATTTACCCACTTTGGGACAATAAATGCGTTTGTATTATCTTTTCATTTCCTTCTTACAAGTTTGAGCCTCCAAAAGGAACATTACAAAAAATAATTCTGCAATTGTTATAGTTTTCCTACTTTAAAGTCCATCATTTACAAAATAATTACAATACTGCATCTCATCACATCCCTATAAAATATTCAGAGATAATAAACCCTCTGCTTTCCCTTAAACAGCCTATGTAAATACATTCTTACATTTTTCCAGGTTCCCTAACAGCATTCAACAGCAATTATCAATAATCAAGTGTAGCCTTTATTAACATTTTGGGACAGTAATGCAATTTTGCTCAGAGTTTTAAACATCTGGATGTGACACAGTGGCTGAACCTGGATGGAGTACAAAGAAGAAGCAAATAAAAGATAATTGAAAATGAAGTGATGTTTAAGACATTTAAGTCATCTAAAAAAATGTAATTAAATAATGCCCTGATGAGAGGTGTAAAATTGCATTATATAGGAACTAAATGGATAAAAAAACCTGACAACATATGGTTTAAAATGTGCAGTATTTTAATTTTGGTATTTTCAAATAAAATGTTGAATTTTGAACCCTAACTGACACGTTTTAACTTTCACATATTGAAGGTTTTGATCTTTTTTTCTTTTTCTTTTGCACAGTAATATCTTACATCCTTAATAGATCAGTCTTTAGGTTCAGACAAAACTCAGAGGTGAGGCGTATTTCCTCTCCAGTGAGTAGATACCCTCGCTATTGAGTTGTCTCTGCTATGGTCACCAGACTCTTTTCTTTTTCATGCATATGCCGCCTTCAAGAGAATACGTTTGGTGTGCTTTGATTGAATGATTATGGTCAGCAAGGTCCCCCGCACAATGAAAGTTCAAGCTGCCAGGTCACCTGTGTAAATTACATTTAGTGCAGGGCTGCTACAAATTAGGTCCCCTATTCTCCTTGTGATGTCAACAGAATAGAAGTTACTGAGAACCGTGGGGCCTTGAAAATGTGTTCTACCAAGGTTGAGGCAGCCCATTATCTTGGTTCTGTGCTCAAGGCACAGACAAAGAGAAATAGAAGACATGTACTAGCTTAGATAAGTTTATGATTACAGGCACAGGCAGAATCTATCCTTTGTGACTCTTGTTGGAAGCTTAAAAGCAGCATTTAACTGAAGTCCAAGACCTAATTAACTTTTAAAGCATCATGATACAGTACATTAAGACACCCAATCATGCAAGCATTGCCCACACACTATCTAACTGATTTGTTTTTTCAGAGGCTTGATGCAATATTTAAAAACTATAAATTTGGCTAGTATGAAACATTCAGCAGGTCTGTTTAGCTTTCATAGCAATTTTAAAAGCACATTAGAATATCAAAAAAAGCCTTATTGATAATATTTTCTGAAGAAAAAAAAAGCAATAGCTAACTATGGGATAATACCGTAATAGGACCCAAAGAGTCTGATATGAATGCTTTATTGGTTAAAACAATAAACATTTTAAATTCTGATATGTTATTGGACACGTAAAGGGTAACACAGTAGAAGACTATAGCAAGCACCTTTGCTGCAAAGATCAGCAACGGTTTGCAGAAAATATTGGGTGGAAGTGAACATGTTAATAACTGCAAACAGGTTAGGACCTGTTTATGCAACAAAAGTAACTCTCTGTTCTTGAAAGACATTGTGCATTAAAGTTCCTACGATACATATTATTAGATTTTAAGGAAGGAACAACCCAAACCAATGGAAACAGCAAAGTTTATGTCATTATTGGGACAAAGAGTTCAGTGTGACAACAGTCAGGCTACTTAGGGAACCATAGCTACTAATTTTGAGCATGAAGTTTAAGAGGAAAAAAAATACTTCTTTTGTAACAGTTTTACCATCTATATATCATATTCAATACATCTGTTGATGATGGTACTTTGTCATAAATTAGAGACTTAGACAGATTTTGTCATTTTATACACACAAGTGTAAACAAAAAGAAATTTTGTTAACTCAAAAACAAATCCCCTACCATGTTTTGCTAAAATAAATATGTTCAGCTGTGTTGCTCTTGTTATTTGTTATTTTTTGCTTTTCGTTTTTCCAGCAGACCAAAGCCCTGAAAAAACTGACTCTCATTTTAGGTCTGATCCAATAGAAAATCATGTTGGATGACATAGGGTGTTTAGTGCTCAATCAGAGTCAATGAGGGTGAACACACCTGACACGGTTTTCTGCAAGGTGGCTTGCAGATTTTGCTAGGACAGCACAGCAATTCAGTGGCTATTGAGGGAAAATACAAAATAAAATGTGACAATGGCAAGGGAAAACACCCAGGTTTTGAGTCCCACTGTACATATATATCAGGCGTGGAAGATTCGTGCATACAAAATAAAATAAGTTTTCTAAAAAACAGAATACTTTAAGAAATGAAATACTTTATTTCACTCCACATTTCTTTGAAATAGGCAACTTGTAACTCATGCAAAGTGAACTATGAATATTATTTAGTATTATTATTATTATTTTTAAATAAATATGTCATTATTACCTCCAATTACATGGCTTAGAACCTCATCTTTCTTTTAAGGACACTCAAACGAGCTGTAGTGCATGAAATCTGCTCACTTTAATGGGACGGAACCAAACCTGTTGTATGTCTTACTATTAGAGCTAGCATCTTTGTAGATCGTTAGCAACATGCCCATTTATTCCATACACAAGAAGAAAAAAATGTATGTACAATTTAACTGCCCTTAAACGTAGAAAAAGAACAAAAAACAAACTCTCTTTGTGAAAATCAATGCTCTCCCTCTCTCTGGGATGGTTGCAAAAAATCCTTTAAGGGTTTCAAAGCAACAGTTCTTGTTCTGGAAAAAAAATGACTGTGACCAGTAACAATTCTTTTATTTTAAAATATATTTGAAGCTAAAAGTAGAGCAACCCTGGTAGTACTCTGGTATTTCTGGAAGAAATATATCAACACATAATAATGTATGCTTCGTACTGGATAATGCATGATGGCTGAGAAGAAGAAAAAAGATCTGAAAAGATCAGCAGGGAATCAGAACATCAATGCTTGAATAATCATACAGTAAGACTGCATGCATACCTCATACCCATATTAAAAAGTAGGATTTTCTTTGCTAACAAAAAAGCAGAAAAATAAGGAGTGAATGTGATGCATTCAGACTTACAGTAGACCAGCAGGTGTCCTTTGAAAGAAGTTCCTCCTCTTGTATTCTCAGCTTTGCATTCATAAGTCCCCGAGTCTTCCAGCTGAATATTAGGAATCTCCAGTACAGCCTGTGACTTTCGGAGTCTTGCCTTTTTGGGAAAGATACCATTTATCTTTCTCCACGTGATTGTTGGCACTGGACTGTTGAAAGAAAATTAATAAAATATAATAGAACTTTATTGATCTTACAATGGAGAAATTCACTTGTGACTTTGGCTCTTATAAACAACCAGAAGGTGCACAAAGGAGGAAAATGTGCATGAGGTAGATACAGTGTATCCATTTAGATACAGTGGATATTACAAAATAAAGGAGAGATCTAAGGTGATTTATATATACAATATTTTCAGTGTATTCTCATTATCAGTTCGTATGAAATCATACGAAAAGTTATGCACAGTATTTCGTAGGTTTTTGACGTTTTTTTCGTCGTATTTCATCGTATTTTTAAGTCTTGCCTCGAGACAAGATATCAGTGTGCATGCGCATCTTACGCACCATTCAATAACATACAATTTAAGATACAATTAACCCTAACCCTAACATACAAAACAGCAAGCAACATAGTGAGAGACATCATGAAGTAATTATTGCACTGTGGAAAGCTCGTCCGTCCCAGTTTTCAGTCATTCCGCTGATCTGCTTTTTTCGTCTGGCTGGCTGCGCACTGATATGTTTTTTCGAAGGAAAAACATCAAAAACCCACAAAATACTTTGCATAACTTTTTCGTACTATTTCATACGAACTGATAATGGATGAGAATATATGAGGTGCCCCCAGGGACATAAATCAGAATTAACTTGCATATACACATATTAAATTACACTCTTCCATATAATATACT